ATTTTATTAAGGGAACAAGGGTATCTTATTCACTCTTATAGTCTTCTCTTATAAGTCGTATTACCAATAAGAAGCCCATCCTTTACCTACTAGTAGTATATAGTATTAGTACAATGCATTCTCCAAAACTGTGTGATAGTGTGACCTCTAAAAGATAAATACAACTGCTGAAAACTCTGACGAAAATTGACAGATTAACGTTGCATGGAAAAAAAGGAGAAAGTGGACGACAGTCGATTCCAAAAGGAGTCAACAAAGTTGTGAAACTGACCACGAAATTGACCAAGTACTGGCGCAGATAAATAAAAAAGAAAACTGAGAAAGTAGAGAGAAGACGGAAAAAACAAAGTTAAGCGAAAAAGTTCGCTATTCAAAAAGGAGAGTAGTATTAAGGAAAATAGGGAAGGTTATAGTCTCTGTCCAGGACAAAGTTTCGCGCTAATGAGAGTAAGAGTTTTCCTTATTTTGCGGTGCAAACTTGCAACTTGTCGCACTTACTCTTGTGCACCATCAGCAATTCTTGGGCTGTGCCTCTTTTTATGTTGATTTGGCTTAATCAGTTGGCTCCTTTTTTGGCGCACTTGCTGGCATAAATAATTCATGAGCAAAATATTGGGCCAGCGCCAGAACTTTTAATTAAATCAAAGTTGACTTTAATTAAATACTCGAATGGGTGAGGTCGAACCCTGGGGCTGGGAAACAAAAGCCGGGCCCAAATCGCTCTCGAAGAAGCTATTAAGCCTTAAAGTCTAATAAAATAAACAGTAAACACATTTAATGCCTTGATTACCAGCATCAACATGGGGTTCAAAGTCCGCCCAGAGCTGCCCGAGGAGGCAACGTCCTGTCCGAGACGGTTGCCCCGGTGTAGTTTGTTCTCAGATTTATGCCAGACTTTTCAGGCTGACCTCAAAATTTGTGGCCCAGATCGGGTGCTGGTTTAAAGGGTGTGGGTGCTTTGGCCAGAAGTCTCATTTTGGAATTTTCAGAGAAACATATTCCCTAAAAATGCCCTGAAAATAAAGCAAAAAAAAATTTAAAAATATTTGAAGAGAACCGACATGAAATTTGAAAAAGTTTCTCATTTTTATACCCTTGCAGAGGGTATTATAATTTTGTCCAAAAGTGTGCAACGCAGTGAAGGAGACATCTCCGACCCTATAAAGTATATATATTCTTGATCAGGATCACCTCCTGAGTTGATATGAGCATGTCCGTCTGTCCGTCTGTCCGTCTGTCTGTTTCTACGCAAACTAGTCTCTCAGTTTTAAAGCTATCGACTTGAAACTTTGCACACACCCTTCTTTCCTTTGCACGCAGTATATAAGTCGGAACGGCCCGGATCGGCCGACTATATCCTATAGCTGCCATATAACTGATAGATCGGAAATGGTATAACTTTGGTGTTTTTAGAGTTAGAGGGCTAAAAATTGACATGAGAGCTATTTTTGGCAAAATAATATGACATGCCAAATTTCATATGGATCGGCCGACTATATCTTATAGCTGCCATATAACTGAACGATCGGAAATGACCCAACTTTCGTGTTTTTGAAGATAGAAAGCTAGAACTTGGTACACATTCTATTTTTGGTCAGTTAATCCGACCTACAAAATTTCATTAGGATCGGCCGACTATATCCTATAGCTGCCATATAACTGAACGATCGGAAATGGTATTTGGTAGAAATATCAACTTTTGTATTTTTGAAGATAGAAGCTTGGGACTTTTTTTCGATTTTTTATTGTAATTGATTGGTTTTATTATGATGTAATCATAAGGATTGGCCAACTATATCCGATGTTTGCAATATATATCCGGTTTTAGCTGCAAGGGTATATCAACTTCGGCTCCGCCCGAAGTTAGCTTTGCTTTCTTGTTTAATTCAATATTTCTTCAGAAATTATCAAAAAATCTTTTTTAAATTTTGACCTACAATATATTTGGTGATTTTATACCCGGAACCACCCTTGGAAATTGTTGCTCTGTTCTGGTCGTTACAAGACCATGGAGTAAATTTATAGCAAATGATGTGGCAGCTCCTCGAGCTGGCCCGCTACTGAAAGCTGCCGTTGTGGCTGGCTGTGTGTCCCGAAGTAAAATATTGACAGTTTGAGTCGGAGCAAGTGTAGCATAAACTGCTGTCAGGGCCACAAAACTTTTCTATACCCACTTTTCGGCTGGCAAAGTGGTGGCGTGGGTGGTGCGGTCTTGTAGGAGAAGCAACAAGCAAAGCAGAAAGTAATTGCTTTCTCCCGTTCGTCGTGACTTTGGGTTACTGCGGTTAAGACTTTTTACTTCTAAGCCAGAAAGGCTCCCATTGCTCGCCATATTTCATTTAAGCTTTAAGATTTAAGATCTCCGTGCAGCATTGATTGTTGGCCCAAACCTGAAAGACCATTTCTGAGCTTAAATCGACCGACAGTACCAGCCTGAGACTAGAAATTTGATGTTTCTGGAGCATCCTCTCCATAGTTTTGTTGTCTTTCGATTCATTCACTGGACAATGCTTAATTTTTATTATAATATAAAAATAATTAATAATAATTATAAAATAATTTTCTCCTTATAATCATACTTTGCTTGGGGAGACATTAATTGAACGGCCTCTGAAGGGGCTGATTGTTTAGCCAAAGGAATGTTTGCTTACATCATCGAAAATAATTATAATCATGGGACAAAGGCGCCCGGTAATCGAATATTGTTTAAATATTTACTTATTTAGAAACTGTCCAAGATGTATCCAATTTCTAGCTTAAAGAAGATGGAAAGTTTTAAAACGATTTCTGTTGCTGAAAATCGAGTTATTTTTTGTTATTCTTCCATATAGAAATCGGTATCCAACGAGTCTCCTCCCACTCGTCTCTGTTTCTTTCGCAGAGCTTTGGCAGTCACCGCTTATCAACTTTTTCCTCGCAAACATTCTTTTTTTCTGCGACGGGAAGCATATTCATTTGGTTCTAGCCATTTCACTTTATTCATTTTTCGCCAAAGGATTCATGTTTTCGGTTTATGGCGCGCTCGTCTCTGAAGTTCATGAGCGACTTATTTTTTCATTTCCAGCACCATCCATCTTATATTTTACTGGCTTGTTAGTTTTGATAACACGCACAAAGACGGAGCTTAGACTTAAAGCCTTTTCAAACGCCACTATGCCAGGCCTAGCGAAAAGACAAAAAACCTCTCTCCGACTGTCTGGCGCTGCGCCCTGGGCTCTGGGGCGAGCCAGATATCCTTTGAATGCAATTAGCTGAATGCCTAATTAAGTGGTTGCGTTTTTTGTGCGTCCAGAGATTTCATTAGTTGGGGCTCTTTAAATTTGAGGAATATTTTTAATAAACCTTTTAAACTTTTCACATTAATCTGCCAGACCGGGCTGGGCTGGGCTTTGCTAATTACTGGCATAAAGATCTCGTTCTATTCCCCTTCTGCGGCTGCCAAGACGTCCTGCCTCAGTAAACATCCTGGAAAACATTTAACAAGCTCTTCCTATCTGCATCTCCATCTCCGTCTCCATTGCAGTATGTATCTGCAATAGTATAATGCCATGTAATAAGGAAGTAACGTTTACAAAAGCCAACTGCTGGCAACAGCCGAGCAAACACATATACAAATATATTTTAGATGCAGTTGTGTGCTCGTGGAGGGGGGCACGACGCGTGTAAATTGCAAAAAGTAAAGTCTTGTAAAGGCAAATTCCTTTCAAATGCAACCATTGCTGCCGGATGGCGCAGGAGGCAGGGCGTACTACTTAAAGTTGCAGCAAGACGAAGTGGGACAGAGCTGGATTTGGAGTGAAAGAGATGAGGTTGGATCTGCCCAGTGCATTCAGTTGACTTTTACAGTATGTCTTGCAACAAACCCTAAAGTGGGTGTGGGTAGCTCTCACTCTATCATCGCTCTAGAAGCATACTAAGCCAAGTTTGTAGTTTTTAGATACGAAATCACCCTGGAACTTCAGCTGCAACAAAGACATTTTGTTGTTAGCTGCAAATTTGATTGAAGACGTTTCAGGTGTTGAGTAGAGTGAGTGCAGATAAGGATATGTGCTTGCAACTCACAGGATAACAGAGTTTAGGACGCCAGGATGAAGTGTGTGGTCAGCTTGGCTGCCTCTCCATCTTTGTTCAGTTCAGTTCTCTGCCGGAATTCTCCAGAGTCCTTCCCCGGCCACAAAAGTATTGCAATCTACATTCATTGCCCGGCCCTTGGATAATCCACAAATAATCTTGACTGAAGGATGGAGAAGAGAGCTCCTCAACAATTGGATTACTTGCAAAGTAAACAAAGATGTTGTTAGTTTAACTTGGCTTAAAGATTCCTAATCTATTGGAGACGTCAAGTGGAGCTTGGCTAAAGTTACAGGGTGATGGTTGAATGCAAAAGCTGTTGTACCATCTCTCTGACAAACTGTTTTAGGCAAAAGTTTTTCCATAATTACAAATAGGGTTTATGAAAATGCATGTTTGGTGCCAAGAAACTTTAAAAAACTGTCCACGACTCTCGTGCGGGTTTTAAAAATGCTTAGCTCTAGCATTCCTCTTGATTTTCTTCATTTGAATGTCCCCCCAATTATTTTGACCACAAAGCAGCAACGACTTGAGCCCCTGGGGGCCCACAGAACCTACACTACACATTGCGAGAGGCATGAACACTCCAGCTCGAGGAGAGAAACCCTTTCTGCCTTTCAAGCTGGCCCTTTTCTGGCTCAAGTGTTTGCATTTTACGACCACACTTTACAGGCAGACAGTCGGAAACGCAGAAGCTGTGTGGGGCCTGGAGGTGTACGAGTGTTGGGGTGTGTGTGTAAGAGTGTGCATTGTGGTGGGGCTTGGGAGGACTTGAGTGAAATGTAGCTGACCTGAGCCACCGAGCAAACAGATATGTGTAGCCTGCATGCTTTGTCAAGGTCGCCTCCTCCATTCATTATCTACCTTTACTAATAAATATCCATTTAACTTACTAATCCATTGCAATTTGCCTCCGACTTCTCCTTCAGGAAAGTTATTAGCCATAGTTAACAATAGAAATGAAAATAAGTTCCATATTCCAAAAACCATTTTGAGAAGGCCCCCAAAACACACCATAGAAGCTTGACGACAGCGACGGCAGTGTTCGAGCTCGATCCACGGATCTGATAGCGAGAACTCAAGGCAGTATATATGCTTGGTGCAACACAAGGAAGAAGTTTTTGAGGATCCACAAGGAGTGCGACGATAGGCAGAGATCGAGTGGTTTTAATTGTTGGAGACGAAATGCTAAGCTCATTGGACGCCCTGGCCGGGAAAATCGCCGCCGCCACGCCCGGAACGGGTGCGGTTTCGGCCGAGAGCAAGACGCAACAGGCCTTGCACCACCACCACCGACTCGACTACGACTACTCGGCTGTGGAGATTGAGCCGCCGGCGGAGCAGCTGGCCAACTCGCCGAGAAACGAGCGCGAACGACTGCAGCAGGCCCAGCAGGCCTACGAGCAGCAGGCGCAGGCTGAACTGGAGTTCGGCCTGGCCGAGGTGGACACCAAGCTGACCCAGCTGAAGAGCAGCCACAACCACCACCCACAGCACCCGAGTCACCACACCCCAAGCAACCTCCAACAACAAGCACAACAGCCACAGCAACATCAACCACATCAGATGCAGCAGCAGCTCCACAGCAGATCGTTGCCGCGCCACCCACACCACAACCAACACCAAGTCCACCATCACCAACCGCACCACAACCACCATCACCCCTACCACCGACCTCGCCCCGCCTCGCCCCACCCTCCGCAGCAGTCGACCTACCAGCAGCAGCTCTCCCAGCTGGTCGCCCTGCAGGATCACCACGAGATGCTGCAGTCCCAGCAGGAGCTCTTCCAGAAGCAGCTGGCCAACATGCAGGAGTATCAGCGGGAGCGGGAGCGCGAGCGCGAGCGTGAGCGTGACCGCGAGCAGCGGGAAAGGGAGCGTGAGCGTGAGCGGAATGGAGGCTTCATCGACAATACCGACTACGATTCGCAGCCGGAGTTCAAAATAGTCCTGCGGGATAGGTGAGTGCGAGTGAAAGTATAATGATCCTATCCTCCACATCAGAAACGCTTCTATTTTAGATGTTTTTGTGTCGCCATTCGTTTTTATGTTTTGTGTTTATTTTGAGAAGCTTTTGAAGATTTTCGACAGAGGTTTCTATCTTGTTTAGATGTGTGGATTTAGAATTCCAAACATTTGTCTTTAAATATCCCTCAGAATTCTTACACATAAACCTATTACACATTTATGTTACACATATTTTTGTTATTTCGCTGTATAAATAGTCCTTTATTTAATAATCACTAAATAATTATAACTAAAACTATAATCATGAATTTAGTTTATCAGAAACGCTGTAATGTATGCTATAAAAATTCTTATAACAAATCGGAGCCAATTAACCAAATAAAATCGCAATTTTCGCCTTCTTGACCAGAGCCACTTCCTTGGCATGTGAAATTATAATCACCATTGTGGCTATTTACCTTTTTGTTCCTTGCCCCTCCGAGCTCCACCACGTTGCATGATTTTCCACTGCACGGAACGCAGAGCTTTTAAATTTCAACTCAATTCATTAGCAGAAATGAGTAAGCAACTGAGTCATTAGAGAAACGCGAATCCATTAAATCGTACACAAGAGTTACATTTAAGTTTATCAATGCATGCCACGTCAATAGAAGCACTTAATACTATTTTAAACTAAATACAAAATGATATGCTCCTCCGGGGCTTCACATCTGGAAGTAAATATGCCCCAAAATTGGAAAAAGTAAACACACCTTGGCAACGCCTCCGGGCAGGCATGCAACACAAAGCCGAAAAACAAACGCAAATAATAAAAACATTTGTAATTTTTGGCCAAAGGAGAATGTCACGTGACAAATTGCTGCTGGGCGCAAGAGTGCTCCAGCCAAGTAGCGGGGGGAAATCAGCTCAAGGTGGGGCGGCCATAGGTGTAAGGAAAGTCGAGTTCCCGAGCACATCCTTGACACGAACACCCAGACATGCACTCCCGCAGACATACGCCAGGCGGCTGCTTTCCTACACATTTGTTTGGGGACCTAACTAATTTAATGTGAAATATCATTTGACATATTGTTTTCATGTTTCCACTTTTGATTTGTGGCCCCGTAAAGGGTTCTTGTTATTTGTTTTCCCCTTTCTCCAGAACCCCTGGGTCGGTACACATGCAAATGGTTGGCGCCAAAGGTAGGCGCCATTTTGACAGCCACCTCCCCCCCAAATGTCCTTCAAGGAATTGGTTGGCAAACATTGGCTTTTGTTGGGAATAAAAATTTAATTCGTTTTAGTGTTCCTACTTAGGCAGTTTGAGATTTAATTTTATTTCTGCTATACAGGCAGAAAAGCGCTTTTTATAGGCCGCCGAGTATGACATTTTATGTTTACTGGCTTCGCAATTTACAACGTCTACTGCTATTTTCGGGGTGCCCCCCTTAGACATTTTATGGATTCTTTAAAAAGCTTTGACATTTGCGTGCCTGCGATTGCCGCCGAGCCGGGCGGCGCATTCCAAATCGTTCATTGACTTTAAAGCGCGTGTTGCACTGCAATTAGCCCGGGATAAATGTTGCATTTGCATGTGGCTCAAATTAGTGCGCCGGCGGGCGATGGGTTGATGTGCCGATGAGCCGCAGATAATGGAAATCGTCACCAGAGGGCTCCCATATAATTACGGCTATGAGCAATCATCCCCAACGGAAGAATTGTGTGCTGAAAGTGAAACGAGTCTCTTTCTAATTTGCGACAGAAATGCTGAAACGTAGACCAGCGACGCTGAACAAACAAAACACTGAGAGGTTTTTCATTTATTAAAGTGGCCATGAGTGGGGGGAAGAGTCCTTCGGGTGTGTGAGGATGAGCTTTTGACGTGTAAGCAAATAATACCTGCACATGAGAGTATTGTAAGGGGATGTCCTTGCAGCTTTTGTGTGGCTTTTGTAGAGTGGAACTGAAATGCGAAAGTCAACGGAAACAGTGCGATAAAAAAACACGAAGGACAATAATAAAGATATATTTATAACGGTGAAATATATATATTCTAAATTTTACCTTATTTTCCTTAAGGCAGTTCCACCCGCGTGAGCTTTCCCAAAATCATGACGCACTGTGCTTTGCTTCTGGTCTTGTTTCTTTGTGAAAAAAAAACCCACCTGCATCCTTCTGGCATCCTGCGCAGTCCCTTCCTACCACGCCCACTCCTGCGCCCTCAGTCTATTTATAACCCAAGCCTTACCCCCTGCATTACCTTTGGCTTGGCAGCCTGCTCTGTGTTTGTTTCATTTCAATTGTTGCTGCTGCTTTTTGCCTTTGCCGTTGTTTGTTTATCCAGGACCCCCCGAACACCAGACCTGCAGACCTCCAGTGTGTGGTGTGTGTGTGTATTGGTTTGACCCAGGCGAAGCTAATTTTGCCACTGGCTCAGGGACATTCCCGGATGCCCCTGGCAGCGAGATCTCTCCAGCCACTTTTTGTGAGTATTTCTGTTTAAATCGAAATTCGGCCACACATAAATACTTATTTCAAAATAGGTTTAGGAAAAGATGTAATTGTTAATAAAGTGTTCAGATTCGTTCTAAAAAAGTAAATATTTCTCTCAGTGCTCTAATAGAATATGTGCAATATTTTTTGAGGCAGACAGCTCGCGTCAGATGTTCTGGGCTTGCCATTTGCATAGTTGCAATTTTAGTTATATTCGGGCTACATTCGTATTAGTAATGCATGTTTTTGTGTTTGCATACTTTTCACCTTTATTGTTGCAGGAAATGTTTGCAAAAAGTATGCTAAATATTCGTGTGGGACGGGCGACAGCTTCTTGTCCTTTCCCGGAATTTTAAGTAGAAATATAAAGTTGAATATCAAATCAAATGCCTGAGACATGAGTCATTGGAATCTGCAAGTATTTCATCATACATACCTTCGTTTAATTATTTTGAGGCATGGAAAGAGAAATTAAATAATTCAAATTAATTTAATCAGTTACCATGAATATTTAATGCTTTTTTTCACCCAATTGTTTTCACATAGTGAAGTGAGCCTTTACTAATTGCGAAATAAACTCTGGCCCTGGCACTAAATAATTTATCTGTCCAAAAATAACATATTTTTAATATTTTTGCCAAAAAACAACACAATACGCTATAATTGGAGCAGGGCGTGGGTTGAACGCATAAATTTTACATTCCAATTTTAATGAGCGGCAATCAAATAAACAAATAACAAACTCCCAACCAGCAAGATACATTTTGGGTAATTTGTTAAGCAGAAACCAAAAATTGATGGGGGGATAAGTGCATGGTCGGTCGCCGTGAGCCCTTTGTATTATTTTCCTTCTCCTCGATTCCTGTTGTTGGTTTTATTTAATTTCATTTTTTATTGTATTCAAGTGCGGTTTGTTCCCTGGAAAATAACTCAGCTCGTTAACTGCACAAATAACATGTCAGCACTTTTCCTTTTTCTCGGACGACCGCAAATTTGCGGGGCGCCCGCCGTGGATTCAGTTCACTTTTGGTCTGGCCATCATTACTCAAGAGTCCTTAAAGTCGGGCAAATAAAAAGTAATACAAAAAAATCTATAAAAAAGGGCAAAACGAGGAGGAAAAACACACGGCACATGGCACTCTGAAGTGGTTAAGTCAAATAAAACAGAGTTCAGTTTGAGTTGGTTCTCTGTGTACTTTTTTAATGCCTGACCAAATGTATTAATCACACATTCTCGGAACCGGACTGGGCACCCCTAGTCTGGGAAGTTTAACTTTGGAACACATATCAATGAACCCCACAAATCAATAACGTTAGTGAAGGTTTTCACCCAAAAAAATTAGAAAATTAAAAATGCTTCAAATGGCGTGTTTCCGTTTTCTTTACTCAGTACTAGCAGTGTTCAAGGGTATATTCGAATATTACTTATAGTTTGAATGTTGCAAAAGGTTAAGGAATCGTCTTAGACCCAGATCTGAACTGAAATTGGACGACTTAAATAAACCATTTTATTCTGAAACCCTACTGGCTTGTTTTTCCGCCTCTTAAAGTATGGAACTGAAATATATGTATTTCCTAAAATAAAGAGCATGTAGTGGAAATAAAGAGTACCGGGTATCATATAGTCGAGAAACTCGACTATAACCACCTTAGTTTTATTTCTTTTATTTTGTGGGCTCCCACGTCAGCAAATAAAAAACCCTAAGTAAAATATAAAGCAATAAAAAATGGTTTGGGAAAAAAATGTGGAAAGTGAAAGCAGCACTTACACTTGGTTGGTAAGGGAAGCCATAATAAAAAGGAGTCGTTTTATAAACAGTGGAAACTAGAGGACCTTTAATCAGGTCCTTACTTTGAGGGGATATTAATTTTAGAGAATTTTTTTTTTTTTAAATGGTATAGTATCATCCATAAAGTTACACAATAGTTTCCTTACAAAAACAGAATATTTAGTTGCGTTTTGAGGTATTGCAGAAATGCTACTATTTCGACTAAAAGCCAATGTGCCAGTTTTTTATTCATTCGCTTTTCTATTTCAAGCAAGCGCCTCGAAAATTGCGGTTAGTTTTGGGGTCTATGTGCTCCACAATTTCCTTGCTTTCATTTTTGGCGTTTGCTGTCTGCTATATGCTCTATATACATATATGTACCTTTGTTTATACGTATGTAGGTATATCTTTTTGTGGTGCTTGTGTAACTGCGTTTGCGGTCTTTGAATGCTTTTGGGGAAAAACAAAAGCTGCGCTTGCTTTGCACTCTCCGTTCCCTCGATATCCTCTCATAGTTATTTTTTATCTCGCCTTCCTCTCAACCGCCACAATCCTGGAGTACACTGTGAAAATAGTTGTATGCCCTCACTTTTAATTGAATAATATGTCATGTATTGGAAAATATCTAGTGGGTTGGTTTGAGTTAATTTATTTCATTGGTTATACAAGATTTCCAACAAATTTATCCTTTTTTGTTTTTGTGTAGCCTGACTTTTTGCGAGCCCTAGACTGCATCTGTTGGCTCATTGATT